TTTTGTTACTATCTTTGGGGTGTATAGCTGCCAAAGATTTATATTTCTCTGTGTATTTTCATAATACTTTGTCTTTTGTTGCTGGGTTTGCCCAGCTTAACATGAATTTGTGATTTACCAACTTTGTTTGCTGAGTGTTTCCTTGTCCTGGTGGACGAGGTCTCAGCTTTATTTACCTTGTATCTGACTTGCTGAATGTTTACTCTACCTTGGTGGGCAGGGGTTCAGCCTTATAATGTATGCTCTTTATGATCTTCTCCTGCTGCCTTGTTTTGAATGTTTGCACATTTGCCCACAATCTAATATCTCTTAGCAGTATCCAGGTCTCGTTGCAGCATTTTTGCTATATTTGGTGAGGCCTCGTAGGTTGGGCCTCCCTATCCTTTCGATTTGGTTGTTTAGCGCTTTCCTGTTCCTTTTGCGTTCCGCTGCGTTTCAGCAGGGGTTTTGTTATATTTTATCCTCCCTTTTCCGTCTGCTTCAAGTGTTTGTGCATTGCATACTTCATTTGGCTTTGGCCAAAGGTTTCGTCTGCGTGCTGGTTGGTACACTTAGTTTAGCGTTGTTTGGCTTACCCTTGCTGAGACTTGTTTGTGTCAATCAGCTTTTTATCTATTTTGCCTGTGTCACCGGCTTGTTTTGCTGCGACTTATCTATGTCAGTTAGCTTGCATATGCTGCGGCTTGCTTATGCCGAGACTTGTTTATGTCGTTCAACTTATTTGTGTTGAGGCTTATTTATGTCAATCAGCTTATTCGTGCTGAGACTTATTTATGTTAATCAGCTTGTTCGTGCTGAGACTTATTTATGTCAATCAGCTTGTTCGTGCTGGGAATTATTTATGTTAATCAGCTTGTTCGTGCTGGGACTTATTTATGTCAATCAGCTTGTTCATGCTGGGACTTATTTATGTCAATCAGCTTGTTCGTGCTGAGACTTATTTATGTCAATCAGTTTGTTTACGCTGCCTGCTTACTTTTTTTTATAAGGGATTATTGATTGGCTGTTCTCTCCTACTCTCTCCCCCTCGAAGAGATGTGCTAAATAGGACTAAGAGGACCTTAGTGTTGCCCATGTAGCTCATCTCTTCTTTTCCTCCTCTCTCCCCTGCTCAAGCTGAACGTGTCAGGCTCCTCCTCAGGCGTCCCCGAGGAAGTGCCCTATTTTGCTTTTCGCAAGTGAGGTGAGGTTTTAAGGAGGGATGCCTTTGTGTTGTTATTTTGTGCTAGGGTGCTTCTTGCCTCTAACGCTTTACTATTATTCTTGTTTGACTTCTGCATATTAGTATATGATGCTTGGGCATACTATATTAAACAGATTTATGCAACATAATCCTCACGCAGAGGCTTGTATTTCATTGAATAGAAATGGCTTAAATGCCTTAGTTAACATGACATAGACTGAGTAAAAGTGCATCAAGCTTAAAGCAGCTATATTTCGAGCTAATTAAACAAAGTATTTCTTTAACACATCAGCATTGAAACTATTTCTTAAGACCTGACCTTCTTGATCTGCAAGGAGGAACGCTCCAGGGCCAACCTGCTCATGGATGATGAAAACGCCTTCCCAGTTTGCTGACAGCTTTCCATGCTGATTTCCTCTTCCAACTGCTGTTGTCCACCTGAGGACTAGGTCTCCAGGCAGGAGCTCCCTGTGCTTGACCCTCTTGTTGAAAGCTTTTGAGATCCTACTCTTCTGGGCTGCCAGCTTAAGGGCCGCTTTTAGTCTTACTTCCGGCAGGAAATCTAGCTCCTCCAGCATGCGCTTTTCATTCCCCTGCTGCTCATAGTGTTGTATCCTCAGGCTGGGTATTTTTACTTCCACAGGGACAACTGCATCGACCCCGTAGGTCAAAGTGAAGGGGCTTTTACCAGTTGCCTCCTTCTCTGTGGTCCTATTTGCCCATAAGATTTTTGGGACTAAGTCTGCCCACAAACCTTTGTATTCTTCCAACTTCTTTTGTAGGGCTATCAGGATCAGCTTGTTTGATGCTTCTGCTTGGCCGTTGCTCTACGGGTGGCAGACTGAGGTACTTGCATACTTGGTGCCCATGTCTCCCAAGTAATCCTTTATGGTGTCGCAGTCAAACTGACACCCATGATCGAAGACTATGCACTGTGGCACCCCGAATCTGGTGATGATGTTCTTCCATATAAATGTTCTGACCTGGGTTGCCTTTATGTATTTGGTGGGCTCAGCCTCTATCCACTTCGTAAAGTAATCAACTGCCACAATAAGATACTTCCTGCCCGCCGACCTAGTGGTGAAGGGTCCTAATATGTCCATTCCCCACTGAGCGAACGGGATCGGGCTGAGGATCGGAGTCAGATCGTTTGCTGGCTGATTTATGACTGGTGAATATTTCTGACACTTGTCGCATTTTTTAACGTACGCCAGTGTGTCCTATGTGAGAGTTGGCCAATATGCCCCTCTTATAAGGACCTCCACTCCCAATGCTTTCCCGCCAATGTGATTGGCACATATCCCGGAGTGGGCTTCTTCTATGATACCCTCTTGCTCCCATTCTGGGATGCACAGCAGCAGTGGCTTTGAAAAGCCTTTCTTGTTGAGCTCTCCATTCATCACCACATACCAATTTGCATCTTTCTTCACCTTTTTAGCCTGTACTTCGTCATCGGGCAGCGAGCCATGAAGCTTGTATGCCAAGATGTCAGAGAACCAGGCTCTCCGACTCCCAATGCAGTTTACCTGCTCCTTTTCGGCAATGCTACTTTCTTCTAACACTTCGACCATCATTGTTCTTGTGAGGCTTTGCAAGGTGGAGCTGGCCAACTTAGATAAGGCATCAGTCTGAGTGTTTCCTGCTCGGGGGACTAAGTCTATCTGGAAATAGACTAGCTGGGTTGCCAGTTCTTTCACTTTGGTCACATATTTCATCATAGTGGCTTCCCTTATCTCGTATGCCCCCTGCAGCTGGCTGGCAACGAGCTGAGAGTTAGTCTGCAGGTGTACTTTGCGAGCTCCGGCTGCGAGGCTCATACACAAGCCTGCTAGCGCCGCCTCGTACTCTACTTCATTGTTGGACGCTTTGAACTTGAACTTGATGGCATACTCGAATACGTTTCCTTTTGGAGACGTCATTATGACTCCTGCTCCACTCCCCGTTAGGGCTGAGGACCCATCCACTTCCACCTTCCAGACTCCAATGTCGTCTTCCTTCTCCTCATAAGAGGCTTCCACTATGAAGTCTGCTAGAGCTTGTGCCTTGATGGATGCTTTAGGCTTGACCTCGAATTCATACTCGAAAAGTTCAATTGCCCATTTCAAGAGTCTGCCTGATGCATCCATCTGTTGTAATGCTTTTTCCAGCGGGTGGTTTGTGAGGACCTCTATTATATGCGCGTCGAAGTATGGTTTTAGCTTTCTTGTTGTCGTGACCACTGCGAAGGCTAGCTTTTCTACCAGGGGATATCTTTGCTCTGCGTCAGTCAGCACGTGACTCACGAAATATATTGGCCTTTGTTGAATCTGTCTTTCTACCAGCAGAACGGCTGCGATTGTTTGTATTGATGCTGAGATGTATAACTGCAGCTTTTCCCTCAGCTCCTGGTTGATCATTGTCGGGAGCTTAGTCAGATTCTCCTTGATGCCCTCAAAGGCTTCTTTCTCCTTGGCTCCCCACTTGAATTCCCTGTTTCCTTTCAATAACTGATAGAATGGTAAGGCTTTGTCTGCTGACTTACTGATGAACCTGGTCAGTGCGGCCATTCTGCCTGTCAACCTCATGACATCCTTAATGCTCTTAGGCTCGGGCAGGTTGAGAACTGCTTCGATCTTTTCCGGGTTGGCATCTATTCCTCTCTCGCTGATCAGAAAACCCAAGAACTTTCCCGAGCTCACTCCAAAGACGCATTTCTTCGGGTTGAGCTTGATCTTATACTTGTTCAAGGTAGCGAATGTTTCCTCTAAATCCATGATATGTCCAGCTTGCGTGACGCTCTTGACAATTGAGTCGTCAACGTATACTTCTACATTTCGTCCTTTCTGGTGGAGGAACACTCGATCCATTGCCTTCTTTCTTCAACCCGAAGGGCATAGCTATGTAATTGTATACTCCCCCTTCAGTGATGAATGCAGTTTTCTTCCTGTCTGGCTCGTGCAGGCTGATCAGGTGGTACCCTGAGAAGGAGTCCATAAAGCTTAGCAGGGCGTGCCCGCTCGTTGAGTCTACCAGTTGATCTATTCGTGGCAATGGGTAACAGTCCTTCGGGCAGGCCTTGTTAAGGTCTGTGAAATCGACGCACATTCTCCATTGACCATTTGTCTTCTTCACCATGACCACGTTGGCTAACCATTCTGGATAGTCACAGGGTTCGATAATTCCTGCTTCCAAGAGTTTTTCCACCTCTTCCTAGATTGCCTGGTTTTTCTCCGTGGAGAAGCTTCGCTTTTTCTGCCTGACTGGCCTAATGTCCTCCTTCACATTCAGGCTATGTACCATGACCGCTAGATCAATTTTGGGCATCTCATCTGCAGAAAATGCAAAAATGTCTTTATTCTTTCTCAGCAGCTCTATGAGGTGGACCCCCACTCCTGGATCGATGTCTTTTCCGATTTTCACTACTCTCGAGGGGTCACCTTCTGTGAGCTCGATCGTGACATGCTCCCCGCTGGGAAGTGGTCTGGCCACTTCTTCTTTTGCAGGCTCGAAGTTTTCCATTGCCAACTTTTGTTTATCCTTCTCCTTGTGATACTCTTCACGCTTTCTCTTCCTTGACTTCCTCTCAGGCTGCTCAGGGAGTCTTCTATCAGAAGCTGACTGCTGTCTGGTTTTGGCGGGATGCTTCAAGGCAGTTATGTAACATTGTTGGGCTGTCTTCTGACTTCCCCTGAGCTTTGATGATCGCCCCTCATTAGTTGTGTAAGCCATCGCCAGGTGGTAAGTGGATACCACCCCGCCTATCTTGTGGATGAGCGGTCTTCCCATGATTACATTGTAGGGTGAGGGAAAGTTTATTACGAGAAATTCTGCTCGGACATCACGCCTTCTTGACCTCTCTCCTACCCGGACTTAGCTCGATTATGCCCTCTGGGGTAAGCCCCGAGCCATTAAACCCGGTGACCTCGTAGTTTACTCTCTTTAGATCTTTTCTGTCCAACTTCAGCTCGTTGAACGCACTGATGTAGATGATGTTGGCTGAGCTGCCTCCATCTATCAGTATTCTATCCACCTCCCAGTTTGCAATTCTCAATGTTACCACCAGCGGGTCGTCATGAGGGTAAATTATGCCCTTCTGGTCATACTCATAAAACATGGCTCGTGGCTGCGGGGGAAGGGGTGGCCATCTACGCTTGTCATTGTCATTAATCTGATGTATCATTGCCCTTAGGTCAGCCCGCGCTCTGTTGACTGTCCCCCCATGTACTGGTCCTCCACTGATCACATACACCCTGCCCTCTGGCTTGCTATCTCTGTCCCTATCTCCTGCTGGACCCCTATGACCTCCTCTGCGGTCATATCGGCCCGCTCTATCCTCCTCCCTCCTTCAGGGAGGATCATCACGCTGCTTAAATTGGGTCAGGTATCCTCTCCTGATTAAGTCCTTTATGTTGTCCTTCAAGTGTGTGCACTCCTTAGTGGTGTGGCCATGGTCCCTATGGAAGTCACACCACTTACTGGTATCACGGCTTCTGTTTATCATCCTTGGGGGCCTCTGCCACTTATCATCAGCTTTGTTCACGCTGAATATGTGAGATCTTAAATGGGTCAGTGGGGTGTATTGATCAAACTTCCCAGGCCTTGGCCCTCTCCGCGGATCGGATCTTCTCAGCCCTACGACCGTGTCCGCTTCTCTGCGGATTTGCTCTCCCCTGCTTGGTTGGTCCACCCTGGGCGCGTTCTCTGCCCGGGTGACCTCGGCTCGCCTGATTGGGTCTCCTACTGCTTTCCTCTCCAGCATTGCCCTGTCAGTCTCATCTGCCTTGATGAACTCGTGCGCTTTACCCAGCGCTTCCGCGAGCGTTTTGAGGCTCTTACGCCCCATATACGCTCTGAAGAGTGACCCTGGCAGTAGACCGCTCTGCATTGCCAACAGTGCTACCTCCTGGCTCATGTTTGGAATGGTTGTTGCCTCTTTGTTGAATCTGGTAATAAAATCCCTCAGGGGCTCGTCTTTTCCTTGAACCAAGGACATCAGCTCGGTTATCCTCTTGGTCTTGTCCACCAGGGTTATGAAGTGCTCCATGAACATCCTCTTCAGCTGGTTGTACGAGTATACAAAACATTTAGGGATGGCGCCGTACCATTTCGCTGCCAGCCCCTCCAGAGTTGGTGGGAAGGCCTTACACCAGACTGAGTCTGTCATGGTGTAGAGTACCATATGATTCTTGAAAGATGATATGTGGCTTTTGGGTGTTGTAGTCCCATTTTATTTGCAGCTCGACATCTTCACCTTCTCCATGGGTTCCTCCAGAATCTCCTGGCAAAATGGGGAATCATCTGGAACAACCTGGATTCGCGCTCGTTTGTCTCTCTCCGGGCTGGGTCCCCGCTCTGCGGCCGGTGACCTGCTACGCGGGACCCGTTTCTTCGGGCTGATCTGAGTGGGGGTTATTTCCTCCACGCTCCATTCTCGGTTCAGGTTGCGAGCCTCCAGCTCCAATATTTTTTTTCTCAGTTGAATGAGCTCCTTCTGCTCAGGGGTGAGAGTCGAGGCCTCCGGCTTTTTTGCTGCGGGCTGCACAGCTGCCGTTGCCGATGATGGACCGGCTCCCTTTCCCATGTTGGTAAGGACCGCCGTCATTGCAGCTAGTTGCTCCTTACTGCACTTAGAGAGGTTCTGCAGAATGGCTGGCATATTCACGGTTTGTGGTTTCTGGGTTACAGGTGCTGAAACAATAAGTTCATTGTTCGCATCAGTTAACGGCATTCCGTACCTGAAAATAGAGCTGGATCCTACCGGATCTACTGGTTTCGCCACTGCTTTAGCAGTAGCTGACGTTGATCCGACGGGGTTCGCTTTTTGTGAGATGGTCGATTTGGGGTTTCCGGTGGATCCTTTTGGATCGTTAGTTACTGGGGGTGCTTTTTGTGGTGTTTGGTTGGTCTCATTAGCTTTAGACGTGGGTGTTTGCACAGTTTCTACTCCGGCCATGGTGGTAAGTTAACTAGTCCCTAGCTCAGTTGGCGAACCTCAGGTTAGGTGATCCAATACCCTCCTTCTAGCGCCAATTGTTCCAGGTATGGATCCAAGGGTTCTGCTGGGTAGGCTGGGTCCCGTCAACAACCTACACACGGCAGCACACGTAAACTGCCCTCGGGGGTGGCTCGAGGAACCCCCCTCCGAAGCTTAAGTCAGAGAGTGTTTAGAGAGAGAAAGTGTACTTAGAGGGATATAGAAAGTGTAATAATTTGAGTGTCTAACCTCCTTTCCGTTTTACTTTACCCTCTATTTATAGGCGTACTATCTCCTTCGTGGAGAGTTTAGCCTGGTCAGCCCTGCGGGCTGGCTCTGCCGGGCTGATGAGCCCTTCTTTAGTTGCTTACTCGGCGATGAGTGCGCACCCTGGGGGCTGAGCGATAGTTCAGCGGGAGCTACCCTATACACTTTCCTATTCCACTGAGTCTTGGTAGAGACGTAGTTCATTGAAATTTCATTGTTATCGATTTTTTGAACGTCTTGTTCATTCCCCGTAGGGTTGTCTTCTTGTTCGTGCCCTTTTGGATTATCATCATTTACTTTACTTTCATCCACATTTGGTCTGTCTTGACCTTCTGACGGGGGAACATCATTAGTCTCATTTTCTATTCCATCCAATCTTTTCAATTTCCTTGGCTTAGAATCTTTTGAACCAAGTGGTCTTCCACGTTTTCTGCGTGCTTGAGATTCATTTTCTATGGCCTTATTACCAATTGGGATTTCAATACGTGCAAGGGCATTTCTGCTGGTATATGTGATTTTGTCACCTTCTTTGTGTCTACAAATGCATCAGGCAACTGATTTGCAACACTAAACGAACAATTTTCTTAACTTCTTGTTCACACATATTTGTTCGTGGGTCTAACATCAACAGTTGTGTTGCATTCCAAATAAGTTCAATTTCTTTCTTACGTGGGTCCACTTTCTCTCCCCCCCCCCCAGGCTGGGAATATTGTTTCATTAAAGTGACAGTCGGCAAATCTAGCCGTAAATAAGTCACCAGTCAATGGTTCAAGATAGATATTTAATTATATAGGGGGATTCAAACCCAACATAAATTCCCAACCTTCTTTGTGGACAAATTTTTGTTCGTTGGGGTGGAGCGATGGGAACATATACAGCACAACCAAATATTTTTAGATGTGAGATACTTGGTTCTCGATCACAAACAAGTTATAATGATGAGTATTTATGATAAGTTGTAGGTCTCAATCTAATTAGTGTTGCTACATATATTATAGCATGTCCCCAAGAAGATGATGGCAATTTTGACCTCATTAATAATGGTCTTGCAATCAATTGTAAATTGTAATCTCTTAATTAATGATTCAGCTAGACCATTTTGTGTATGAACATGAGCGACTGGGTGTTCAACATCGATTCCAATTGACATACAATAATCATTAAATGTTTGGGATGTAAATTCCCCAACATTGTCAAGTCTTATTTTCTTTATTGTATGATCTGGGAATTGTGCTCTTAATTTGATAATTTGGGTAACTACTAACTAGTTTTGCAAAGACAATTGAATTCAACTTGAAAGCAGACTGACATGTGACCATTGTGTAGAAGCGTCAATTAAAGCCATAAAATATCGAAATGGTCCACATGCTGGATTAATTGGCCCACATATATCTCCCTGAATTATTTCCAAGAATTTTGGAGATTCAGTAGCAATTTTGTTCATAGATGGCCTTATAATTAATTTGCCAAGTGAACATGCAGAGCATGTTAATTCATCTGATTGAGGAATTTGACATTTCTTATTAAATGTCCAACTAAATGTGCTATTATTCTTTGCATCATCCTAGTTGTTGGATGCCCCAGATGATCATGCCATAAAATAGCCAAATTTTTGTCATCTATACTGGTTAGATACCATATTGATTTCCACGGGTCGTATGTTTATTGATATAACCCCGATGAATATGCTGAAAATTTCTCATATATATGTTTCTTGAATTCTTGTCATGTTTTTCTGCCGTGAGGCATATATACTCCTTTTGATCTGTTGTCATTGTTTCTAGATGATAGCCATTTTGGCGTACATCTTTAAAGCTTATGAGATTTCTTCGAGATTTACTCGAATATAAAGCATTATTGATTATTAATTTTTTTTCCATTTGGAAGCATTATACAAGCCTTTCCAGATCCTTCAATTAATTTTGCTGACCCGGAAATAGTATTTACATTTGTTTGAAACAAATTTAGTTTTGAAAAATATTTTCTATCCTTCAAGATAGTGTGTGTTGTTCCACTGTCCAAAAGGCATTGATATTCGGAACTAACTTCAGGCAGATCAATATCTTCATAAAATAAATTTGAGATTAGTTTAGAATAATATCATACAAACTTTTATAGATGATAGGAATTAAAAGTACATGACTAGAAATTTAAAATACATGACATAAAGAAAATACATTAAAACATAATATATGTTACATTAGTAGATAAGAAACCTAAGAATTGTTATTTTCTCCAAGGATAAAATCATTTCCAATTTCAGCATTATCCATGAAATAATCAGATACGTCAAGGCTAGGACAAGGAGCATTTTCTTCGTTAACATAATTTGCTTCTGCATTTTTCTCTTTGCCTTTTACAGAAGCCTAGTAAAGTTCTACCAAATGTTTGGTCGTACGAAAAGTACATGAAAAGTATGTCCCCAATGCCCTGTCATGCCACATCTGTAACATGTGTCTTCTCCTTTCGAAGGAGTTTGTTTGTGGCTTCCAGATGATTGTCCCTTCTGTTTTTTAAAATTTTTAAAATTACTGTTTTTTTGAAAATTGTTTCTACCATGACCCCAGCCACGACCGCGATAATTTCCACGGCCTCTTCCACAACCATTGTAATTTCCACGTCCACCTCTTTGTGTAGCATTTGACTCAGGTGGATAAAAATTTGTTGCATTTGTCTCATGATGAGTGGCCAAATACCCAGTTGGTCTAAAATTATGATTTTTCAACAAAATTTCACTATTTTGTTCCGCAACAAGCAATACACTCATTAATTCATTAAACTTTTTGAAGCCTCTTTCACGATACTGTTCTTGCAACAGTATGTTGCTTGTATGAAAGGTAGTGGGTGTTTTTTCTATCATATGTCCAATCGTGACTGGATGATCACAGTAAATCAATATAGATACTATCTCATGTATAAATGTATTATAATCAATTACAGATTTGAAATCCTGGAACCGTCAATTCTTCCAGTCAAATAAGGCCTTAGGAAGGAGCACCCTTTTGTGGTGTCCAAATCTTTCATTAAGGTAATCCCATAATTCTTTGGCATCTTTAACCATCATGTACACGGTTTTAAGGCCTTAATATAATGTAAATGATGCCTTAACAACACTAAGGCTTTTGCCTTATCTTGTTCAGTAATAGGTTTTACAACCGTCATTGCAGAAGTGGTAACATCAGTTGTTTGACCAAAGAGACTTTTATTTTCTTTAACAGTGTGCTCCAAGCCTTGAGCTTTCAAATTCATCATTGCATCCACTTTACATTCAAGAAATTTCTTTCCAGATAAATCTAAGATGCTGAACTGTCTTTTCATAAGGTCTCCCATTTTAGCTAAAACAAATTAAGTGATAATTAGTTTATAATAATAAATTTTATGTATAACACATATGTTTAGTCCTTCCATAATTATAGTTATGTTAATAAAATAAGTAATAATTAAATTTAACAATAATAAACCATAAGTAATATAGTCTTTTCTCTCCTTGGTTTATTTTTGTGAGTAATTTAGAAAAAACAATCATGTTAGTTGTTAAAAAAACAGCAAAAACGACAACAATAACAGTAGTAACAATAATTATAATGATAACGGTAATATAATACAATGATGATTAATAACAACAAGCCAATATAATAAAACAAAAACAAGCTTTTAATATACTAAAACGACAAAATAGAGTTTTACTTGTACATAATGACAAAAATTAATATTGCTACTAATAAAACTACAAGCGTCGTAATTAGAAGGAAATATTGTTTTATCTTCATTAAATCTTCCTCAAAAGTGAAGTTGTGGGTGTTTTGATTGCCGTTGTCGGGGAACATATCGGAGAAGAAGGGGTGATAAAAAATTTTAGGTGATTTTTGAATAAAAAGGGGGAAGGGATAAGGGATTTGTGGTGAAATCAGGGGAAAAATCCG